TTCTCTCAGATAGCTTTGGGAAAGTGTCTTTACCCCCATTCCCCTGACTTTATTAGTTTGGAGAACCAGGTACTGATTGCCTAAAACTTCAGTATCACATTTTGTAGCCACATAATTAAAATCAAAAGTAGAAACGGCTTCAGAAACTTTAATTGATGAGAATGCTGTATTGACTGTTGCAGCTCGTGATTATTCCCCAAGTTAGCTGAATACATGAGTCCAATGTGATTTTCTTCCTAAGATTGTTTTTTTTTACATCTGTGCAAATCTTTTTGCAAGAGCTGATGTACTGAACAATTGTTTTAAAAAATGTATCTAGGGGGGTGGGTGCTGATGGCCACAGGGAGAGGACTGCACAAAATGTTAACTATGCCAGTGAACAGGGCAGTCTTAGATAGTATTTGAAATATAGGATTCAAAATTAAGTCAAAACATGAATCTTAAGTTTTGCAGCACTACACCTGAAGATGTGGACAAGAAATTAATGAAATTTTTGAGGGTGGCTAGGGAAGGAGGAAGGCTCTGCTAAGGCTTGGGGTTATTCAGCACTGAGGTCAGTGTATAGCAGAGAAGAGTAATGTTATTGAAAACAGGTTTCCACAGTGGTTTCCTGCAAATTGTTGTTTAATGGTATTATAAATATCTTAAATACTACAACTGTGAGTCAATTATTTTCAGTACTGGGGGATACCTTATTAGGATTTGCTTCCACCAAACCTGCTTTGCTTACAATGACAGTTAGACTACCATGGCTAAATATAGTTTATAGAAGAAAGGTGCTAACACTTTCAACATCAATTACACACTTAGACAAATACTATAAATAGGTTGATGTTTCATAAACTAGTACTTGACAGAGGCACAGAATAGATGCTCTCCTGTGGGGATTTTCTGTGTTCCCTCTATGGCTTTTATGGGACAAGTAACTGCTCTTAGATATCTGAACATTCTTTTTATTACTATTAATTTCAGGTCAAATAGCAGCAAGAGACTGACAAAGCTTGCTAGCAGTGAGCTTTCAGGCAAGCTGCCCAATGTAGTTTTGCCGATACATTGATCTACACTATCCTTGCTATGTCTGCCCTGACCTTTCTGGGTACAGTTACTTTTAAATAAGGTTCTAGTGCTGGTTTAGTCCTGCTGTAATCATGGCCTTGGTGGACATGACAAACTCGTGTTCTCGTGCAGATTTGGAGAACATTCAGAAATCACTGCGTTATCAGGTGTGCTGGTAGTAGGGATGGAGTTAAATACCTGCCCATGAGGTTTTTAAGTTGGAGATCAGAGCCTGCAACGTTGCATATATTAGGTCAAACTAAGGCTCGGTTCCAAACACTTCACAAAACGCAGTGTTTTTGTTTAAAGCTGTACCTTTTAAAAGTACATTTTTGCATGCAGTGTTCAACAGTAAAGAAAACCCCCAGAAACACTCTTGTATTAAAAGCAAACTAAAATATCAATATGTAGCACACTTAGGCCGGACGTGTTTAACTCAAGTTGTATTTGCATTAAGCTATAGCTAGACATGCAAAGGTAATTAACAATTAGAAAACTAATATATTTATATAGACAATCTTTAGCCAGCCTTCTCACTGATTGCACTGTTTCTTTTATTGTATATGTTGCTCTTGCCAAAACCATTGCAGTACCTGCAACAGAATGAGCAGAAATGGAGAAAGGGAATGGGGGTGGGGGGTGAGGGGTGGGGGGGTGGAGAGGAGGGAACTAAAGGTCTTGTTCTGTATCATCTCTGCAGCCAAATGGCCAAAAACGTGGCCATTTTCTTGAGTCAGGGTAGGAATTAGCAAACCCTCTCTGCTATGAAATTTTAAGTAGATATCCATGGCAAAGGATGGCGTTGTCACCAAAACCTATGGTTTGAGGTTGAAATTCCTTGTTGATGAGACATCTATGCTACCAGGTTCCCAAGCTGATGCTGTCACAGCACTGTTCTTTATCTTAATTTGCAGTCTGATCCATGCTGCAGTTATGTGTGGCTAAACTTTCATCGATGCTGGTTGCAGTAAATTACTCCATTTGTCTCCCAAGCAGGGAGGAGGGTCGGGATATAGGCTCCATTAATTTGACTGCATCCATGAAAATTTGCCTTATCTATCTTGGAAATTTCTTCTCTCTTTCCCAGACTTTCTGTCTGTAACTGGGAAGTGTTAGGTTGTTACGTCTCTTGAAAATGATATATTGGCTAGCTCCGTCTTCTTTAACTGCTCCTTTCATTGGAACAGAAAAATTACATTATAACTCTGCCTGGGCTCAGTAGGTCTGTGAGGCCCTGCTTCCTAAGGGAATGAAGATGAAAGAAAATTTTCATTCTTGTTTTCTTGTTGTCACTTCTGTTGTATCTTCTATATTTTGTTTGAATAGAATAGGTTCTACCTACAATCATGATTTTATTACCTCAGTCTGGTGCAACTTACTTGCACACAGCTTTACAGTACTCAGTAAAACCATGGGAGAAACATGAATTGTGCCTTACCAGTTACTCTAAAAACAGTCCTGAAAAGTGTAATAAGAAAACAGAAATGAACCAAAGTTCTAGCTGCTGGGAGGGAGGAGGTTTCAGTTCCATCATGCAGGGTTATTTAAAATGAACTTCACAAGGTCAGCGAGGACAGCAGTTTCATTTGTTGGGAATTAAAAGTAGAACTAACTGTGAATTTGCTGGGAAGGTTGTCTGTAAGAAAAGGAGCTCGTTGCTTCTTTATTTGAAGTCCGTCATATCCTTACATGCAGCAGGCAGACAGGATGTTTCATACCACTTAGGAAGTGGCAGCAGGAGGTCAGAATTATTAGATTTAGCATGAAGGTTTTGACAGCCTATGTGCAACATATGCACTGCAGCTAGTGGGGTGAAGTTCTAGACAGACGAACCAATCTGTATTTCACTAACAACAGAAAGTGTGGTTCTACTCCCTTGTCACTTGCTTATCTTGCCCGTTTTGCTACCTTTTGTCTGCTCCTGAGATTTTTCTCACCCATCAGAACATGCTGTGATTAAGACAGCTGTTGATCTGGCATCCCCCGCTCCATTGCCTGCCTCCTCCTACACCTGAAGCACAACAGCATAGCTTCTTCGCAGCTCTGACCTGCATTTGACAGGAGGGATCTAAAACATGGATCAGCAATTCACTGCAAGCCAGGCATTTGTGTCTAGTGGGACTTCCTCCTTGTAGGAGCCTTGCTAAAGGGTGTGTTTCTCAGGCAACAACCCTGCCTCCAAAACCCTCCCCAGTCCAAGACCCCAACGTATGTGCACTACTGTGACCCAAATATATGGGCTGCTTGCTTCTGTCACCCCAAACCCTGGCACATGGAGCTGCCTTGGATATGGGCAGGTTAAAGATCTGAGACAGCGCTCGGTTTACATTTTAATTTCTGCAGGCAGTGTGAGGCACAGCACTGTAAGCCATTAGGATATAGCTATCTGTAAACATTTGGGGCAAATAGGCTTAAAAAAAGTAAGGATATGGATTTAAACTGCATTAGTCAAAATGGACTAAACCTTGTACAGAAGGCCTCCTTCAGCATTAACTTCATTTAGGTCCATGTTTTTCCCCACACAAAGAAATCCTTTATGACTCCTCTAATCTCCAAGCAGCACTTCAAGCTTACAAAATTTATCATAAGCATCTATTAAAACCAGAAATATTGGCAAATGAATCAGATTTAAAAAAATAGTGGTTTAATATTTTAATTTGCTCCTTTCATTTGGTAATTTCAACTTATTATTTATGTAATTATAAAGATGACATAGTACGATACAGGGTCAGCTTCCCTCTATAATAACAATTTGGTTGTAGATTTGTTGCTAATACATATGCCCTCTCTCTTCTGGATAACTCATTTTTGAATCATCATCTAATTTTTCTATGCTTTTTAGCATGTAGTCTCTTCAGTTGCCAAGGTCATAGGGAAGTTTTAATGTATTTCAGTGCAGTTCTTCTTCTACATATATTTTAAGAGTAATAAAAAAGATGATAGATTGCAGTCTTGTCATTAAGCTTAATACCAACTTCTGGTACAGATGGTAGTTCATGAAGATTACAAACACCATGGGAAGAAAATACATCCATACAGCCAGCAGATATCCCTTCAGCCTCTAGACAGCGTGTTTAAAAAACCCCAGTCACTATTTCATGCACACTAATAATCTGTGGCAAGTTTTATTTCCCTTCTCACTGGATTGCTTGCTGAAAACAATACATTCTGCTTAAAACTGTTCTGTGTTTTATTTTAAAATGAAGTTCTATTGAAACTGTATGTGTGGTGGCACTGAAGTCTGGCATATGACAGTGTTAATCTCCCTGCTTAGTTTAGTTCTGCCAGTACATTGATCTGCAGTACGATCCTATTTTTATCCCTAATGTTTGAAGTACAGTCGTGACCACATTTCCATTAATGACTAGGCTCTGAACCATTTTAATCTGTGACTAATAAAAAAATCGTAACATTTTCATTAAATCCACATACAGTCTCAGCGCTATCATTGGTGCTGGCAGAATAGTGATTTTCTGTTTCTTGAGTGATGCATCTGCCATTATCAGTGATCTGCTTTGATAGACAGCTAACTCCTTCTTTCACTCCCAAGTAGTATGTACTCAGCGTCCCAGATGTTTGATCTATGTGTAAATCTATTATTCAACTGGCAGAGGGGGAACACCATAGTACAATGGAAAGCTAGAAGAATAAGCAGAATGTCCAAGAAACAGAAACTAGTAATCCCTTGATGTGGATAAGGTCTGAAGGGAGAGACCTCCATTCTCCTAGCTGAAGGGGCAGAGATCCATCCTGTAGATGTAAAGTTTTAGCATTTCTATTTCCTTTGTAGAAGGCAAAACATGCACATGCATTTTTGTCAACTTTGAGGAAAAAACACTTACCAAAATGAAAATATTAGAATTAGATTACTCATGCAAACTTAATTCCTGACTGCTCCAGAATTATAAACCTTACATTAATTACCTGACTACATGTTTACTTACATATTCATTAGAGGCCTGCTTTGTCATTCTGTGGGAAAGGTAAGTGATGCTCTGTGAGGAATCGGGGCTCACTGGTGAAGGCGGTTGCTGTCTACAAAAGCACCCCCTGATAATTTGTGAGGCAGTGGCTGTGGTGTAGAGCTTCAGCAGTTGAGGAAGGGGCCTGGCTGTAGCTCTGGAGACCAACTCCTCTGTTATGTCATCCACATGGGGACAAGGAAAGGTTTACAGATGCATGTAAGCCCAAACATCTGTTTTTAATACAGAGGAAGAGAGAAATCAGGTAAAGGAGGTTATGAGAAAGGGTAAAAAAACATCGAGTGTAAGATAGCGCAGAATAAGAGGCGGTATTAAAGGTGAACGGCAGATGGCAAAAAGCCATTGGGCAATCAGGTGGCTTTCAGCATAGCCCTGGCGGAGGGCTAGAATGGTGTCTGGGCAGGGTAGCCACCACCTGCCCGTGGTCTGCCTGCCACATACAGTGACATGGCAAAGAGTAGCATGCAAAGGGTAGGGAATGACAGGCCGAAGTTACAGGAGTAGTTTCAGTTTTGCTCTCGTGTATGCATTTCATGACAGCAACACGATCAAAGAGCACTTATTTTTCGGTGTTTTATTTCCACAGATCCCCAGCTTTTCTTGCTGCACAGGCTGTGAGCAGCCGTCCTACACACTTAATGAGCGGCAATTAAGTATTTTTTCCCTCATGTTAAACGAACAGCGTTGCCTCTTCTGCACTGCGTACTGAAGGCACCCTAGCAGAGTTCTTCTGTAAGGGCCACAACTCCGCAATGCCAGAGGCTCCTATAATTACTCTGTACTTTCCATCTCCAGGAGTGCAGGGCCTGTATGACCGCCGCCCTCACTGCTGAGCTGAGGCGCCTGGAGCCGCTGCGGGAAGCCCGACCAGAGACACGGTGTCCTGCTGGGCACGAGCTCTGCAGGCACCCGCGGCACGGCACCGGCCGTTGAGCTCCAAACGCCGTCCCAAGCCGTTCAAGAACACCGCGCCGCTCCTGACGTACAGAGGCACAACGCCGGCGTCCTCCGGCCGCGGCGAGCCGTTCCCATGGCAGCGCCAACGCCCGCCGCCGCACGTGAGCGCTGCGAGAAACGGCTCCGCGCCCTCCCCGCCGCCGTGACGTCAGCGGGGAGAGGAGGAGTGACGGAGCCCGCCTCCCCGCGTCGCGCTCAACCCGCGAGCTTCCCCACCCCGCGCGGCGGGCCGCGCCGAGACCGCCCACTGCGGTTGCGCGCAGGCCTGGCCCCGCCCCCTTGTCCCGGGCTGAACCGTGCCGCTCCGGCGGTACCTGCTCGGCTCCACCTTGCCCTCCTGTGGCGTCATCGCCCCGCGCCGGCACCGGGGCGGGGCGGTGCCTGTTGCTGGGTTACGGCTGTCATCCGTGCGCGCCGCCGCCGTGCTCGCGCTCTCTCTCTCTCTCCCTCTCTCTCTCTCGCCCGCCCTCCCCGCCCCCTCCCGGCGCCGCAGGAAACGAGCGGATCCCGGGGCGCTGCCGCCCGCCGCCCCCCTCCTGCGCCCGGCCCCGGCCCGGCCCTGCCCCGCTGCGCCGACCAGCGCCCCGCGCCGCCGCTCCCACATGCCGGAGAGCGGAGCGGCCGCGGCGCCGAGCCCCGCTGCCCGGCTGCCCCGCGCCTCCCGGCTGGGGCCCTAGCGACCCCCCCGCCGCTGGAGCCGAGGCCCGGCGGCCCCCGCAGTGCATGAGAGGGAAGAGTGGGGCGGGGGCCGCGGCCCGAGCCACTCGCCTCCCGGCCGGCGGCGGCGCGGGGACCGGCCCGGGGGGCAGCGAGGGGCGGCGAGGCGGCGGCTCCATGTGAGAGGAGGCGGCGGCGCACCTGAGCCGCCGGGACAGCCGCAGCCGGCGGGGCGGTGGGGGGAGCGGGCCCAGCGCCCGACCCCGAGGACCACCTGCCCACAGCCCGCCCAGGGGGGCCTGGACCTGCCTGCCCTCTTGAAGCCGCCTGGCCCCCGGCGGCAGCCCCGGGGCAGGGGGCAGCGTGCCCCCTCCCGCCGGGGGAGAGGGGCTCCGCCTCGCCGCCGGCATCGCCCCGCCGGCGGGAAGACTTGTGCGTCGCGAACGGAGGAAGAGCCCAGCCGAGCGCGTTCCGAAAAGTGAGTGTGAGCGGGAGGGGCCGTCACCGGAGGGCGGCTGGGTGCCCCAGGGCCGCCGGTGGAGCTATACGAGGCCGGGGCGGGCGCGCCGCCGCTTCCCATGCGGCTCACGTTGCCGGCTGCGCACGGTCTGGTGCCCCGCAGGCGGGCGGGCGGCTCCCGCCTGCCGCGGGCTGAGGGGATGGGGCGGGGGGCGCCTCTGTGAAGGGCTGAGGTCCCCTCCACAACTTCTGCCTCCCCTTTGTGCCTGCCGCGGCGCGGGCCGGGAGCGCCGGCCCCTGCGAACAAAGGCGGCGGGCCGCTGGAGGGCTCGGGATCCCCCGGTCCCCGCCCGTGGGAGCTGAGCGGAACCGCCGGGGCGGAAAGTTGTGCCAGGCTGGGAGCGGAGCGCACGGCAGCGGTCTGTGAGCCGTGAGGTTCTCAAACACGGCCCCCCACACCCCCCCGTGCTGTTTTTTTTTTTTCTTCTCTAAAGGGTTGAATGGCTCCTAACAGACCCTATGGCTGCCTCCCGACTGCTCATTTACATAACGCCCGTGTGGAAAACGCTGCTGCAGTTGTTACGGGAAAACGTTACTGAGTTGCTTTTTCAAGTAAAGCATTTTTCTAGTGCCGTTTCAAAGCCAGAAGTAATGTTGGCTCTTCCTGTTTGTCGAAGAAGTTGTGTCTTCACGAAGCACGAACAAGTGCTCTTGCTCTCACTCCAAACCTTATTCTGTGGCAGGGGAGCGAAGGGTCTCGTTTACTACCGGGACTGTGTTTGCCTGGGTTTTGGTTTGCTTTGCTTTTTAGCTTTTGCTTCTGCAGCATGCAGAACTTGAGCAAAAACTGCAGCAGAACTTAGGCTGTTTTAATAGAATATCTTAACTTACTCTTGACTGAAGAGAACACCACCACAGTAGTTGGTTGGGAAAGGAACGTTTATGTCTGTCAGCACTAAGTTGTTCTATTCAGGAGTTAAAATTTATACAAGTGTTTGTTACAAGTTCCAGGCAAGGTTGAACAGGGCTTTGAGCAACCTGGCCTAGTAGGAGGTGGCCTTGCCCATGGCAGGGTGGTTGGAACTAGATGATCGTTAAGGTAGCTTCCAACCCAAGTCATTCTGTGATTATACGATACGATATGAAAACTACGCACTAAAAAGTGAAAAGATTAAGTTGAATGTCATTTATTTGATAGTGTTCTGGCATAGATCCTGACATCATAACTGCAAAACGTGTGCTCTGCATGACTCCTCTTCATATTTCCCTGGAAGGATTCTAGAAAGACTTGGAAGGGAAAAGTAGGATTTGAAGGTGTCCCTGCCTGTGGCAGGGTGCTTGGAACCAGGTAATCTTTAAGGTCCCTTCCAAGCCAAACCATTCTGTGGTTGTCTGGTTCTTCATTAAAAGAACAAACAGCTTGTGAACTTCCTGTGGGTTAGTAGCTGGGATCCTGCTCCTCTGTGTTTTCTTTACCAGGTGGAACTGAAAGTAGAGAAAAATAAGATGTAGCAGAAGTGCATAGTGGCTGAAGGTCCAAAATACACATGTGTGAAGGGAAAGCTATACTCCAGAGTTCCAGCAGTGTATGCTCACTCTGTGCTTTAGTTTGTGATACATGCTTGAGAATGGGTAAGGTCTGTTTCCCAGCTGTGTACTTGTCTATTCCAGTGAGAAAGAGGCAGCCTCTAAAAACTCAGGGGACAACCTAGACATCAGTAGGAAGTTCAAAGGTGGATGAGGCACCTGACATTTCCCAGTTTCTTTTAGATACCAAGTATTCTGACAGGTAAGAAGACTCTTCTTTTGAGACCAAAATATCTCTGTATCTTAAGTTCCCTGTTTTTAAAAGGGACTTAAAAGAACCTGAACGTTCCATTCAGTTTGCTTTTTGCTCTTCTTGGCCCTGGAACTAGGAGGTCAGGAAAGGAAATTGGATTCTCTTCAGGCCATAGTCTTAAAGAGATGGGCAGTGCTATGCTCTATGTAATACCTATAGGAGCTAAAAGGTGTTACGTCCTTTTTTGGACATGGTGATGACACTTACTTTTATATCACTTCCTGGTTCCAAACTGAAATCTGCCCTTTCTGCACTCCTATCATCATCTGATTGCTAATGGCAGTCTGGTTCTGTCTCTTGATGGTACTTGCGCATTCTAGTTGGTGTTCTAGGTATCTCAAGCAGATACATTACTTTGATACTAAAATGATTTTTGCCCAGGTTTGTTTTTTTTTCTCCTATCGCAGCTTAACATTTAATCAGGGTAGTTCCTTTCTTCAATCTGAATAATTTACTATTACAGTGGTGCTTGTTTGTAAACGTAAATGTTTATCAGAAAGTATGTGATTTTCATTTGCATTAACTGTTAGAGAAGCTTTTGTAATAAATAGCTTTTAAATTCAGGGAAAGGAATAATTTTTACCCTCTGACAAATTAACTCGACTTCGCCTCATTATGTACTTTGCAAAAGTTTTTTTAATTACTTCAGTGGAATTTATTGTCTCTGAATCAGTAAAAAAAAAAAAAAAATAGGGTGTGATTATTTAAGGCTGAAAGTTATTAAACAGAGAGGAATGCTATTCTGTCTCTTTAAAGTAAACTTAAGTCTCTTATGGTCAGCGTGTTTTAAATCAGGCTGTTTTTAATAAACATACTTAATCTTCCAGATCTTTTTCTGAAGAACACATGCTTGTTAACTGACTGTATGTGCATTGCATTTGAAATAAATGTTATGTGTAGACCCTATCTGCAGAGCTGCTTCAGCCTTCTCTTATGGGGACTGTGTATATCAGGTAATTCTTGAAAGAGACAAGGAGGATTGCGTGTACTCTTGAAAATGTTCTCCTGTGACAAAGTATTGTGATTTAGTGAATTTAGTGGAAACTGATGGATGGTTCTGTATTGAAATGGCCTATATATTCACAGGATAGGCAAAAGCTGTTCACCAAGATCTTTTCTACAGACTTTAAGATCGCCTTTGCTGTTGCAAGAGACTACAAAGACTTCAAATATTTGTCTGATGGAGACTAGAATATGTAAGCGTAACTTACTGTTAACAAACTTCGTGGTCTTGCTTTGTGGTGATACAGCCACTGACTATTACACAGACTGTTTTGGCTTAAATCAAATGTCATTTTAGCCCTGTTTCCCAGTGGTGACCAGTGGATGTCTGTGAAAAACTGTAGGCAGCGCTATGTGCTGTAAGTCCCTTTTGCAGAACACCCTTCTGGTTGTTCCTAGTACATATTCCAGGGCTGTGTCATTTCTGTGTTTGGCAACCCTTATAGTGGCTTCCTCCTGGGTGAACATGTTTGGTGCCTTTGAGGGAAGACTGGACAATTCACTGCTTAGTGACTTGTTTTGAATATAGAAGTCAGCTGTGTTGGATACCTTCTAATTCCTGTGCGAGGAGAGAGGAGGAGCACTTGATCCCTGTCCACTCCTAACCTGTCACAGTTTTATGTTTAATAGAAAATGGGACATGGTTTGGAGAACCATGCTTTCACTTTATAAAGATTATGTGTGAAATAAAAAAGTAATTTTTTAGCTCCATTCTCTGCTCAGCTGGAATTAGTAAAGAAGCATAATGATTTGAATAAGCACTTAAATATTCAAGTACACATTTGCCTTTTGTCTTTGGGAACTCTGCATATGGAAGATACTTTTTGGCTGTAGTGAACACAAGAGTCATTGCAGCTCACTTCTGAGGGAACATTTCTTGGGCAAAGAATGGGAGCAATTATTCTGTTGCAATGTTGTGGATACTCCCTAGTTCATTCCACCAGTGGTTCTGATCAGCCACTCCAGAATTCATCCTGTATCAAGGCATACATTG